CAAACATTTTGGCGAAGACTGTATATTGCTATTCCACAGAGATCTAGAAGTCAAGTACGTATATTGGTAATAAATCGTGAAGGCTCTTAACAGGATAGTATTATCTGACAAATGTGTTTCCAATTATTCTACTATAAGTTTCTAAGAATCTATATAAATATAAGAGTACTTTCTGTTGTAGGTCCATGTAACTTCACAAAAATTGATATGGAGGTTCAGTAGGTCCATACGGGGGTACATACACATTTTCAGTTTTGCGGTTTTTATGAGTGTTTTTGCGTTTTTACCACTACCTCATCTCCTGTAAACAAATCTTCACCAAATTTAGCATGAAGGTTTGTTAGGTCCATGCAGAAATACATGCAAATTTGCGACTTCACATTTTGTGTCTTGCAGTTTTTAGGCGTTTTTGTGTTTTTTACAATTACATATAACGGAAGCAACTTTTCATGTCCTAAGATAACCTTTCATTAATTATGAATTTAGATAACTTCCGTCTAGGGGACGTGTACTCCAGCTAGTAAATAAATAGTTTGACAGTATTTGCAAAGACACATACAAAATACATTGTCAAAGCTGCTATTTCAGCTGTTCAGAAACTGGTTGAAATATAAACAAACACCTATGTTAAGACTTTGATCTGTCACCCAAGCTTGTATACATTTAAAAAACATATGCGTTTTTACACATTATAATCAGTCAGCAGGATGAATAGGATTGGACAGACATGTAAGGCTATTCAGTCCTCATGCTATGTTTCTATTGACATATTCTTTCATCAGTGGTCAAGTTCTGAGTATCTCTGTTCGTGGCTTATGTAAATAGGAAAGCACAGAGTCAATTATATTTAGAGCGTAAAGCTTAGAAAACGAATGACAGGAATCATGTAATGTGGTCTGTGGATCGCATTCTGGTCCGTTCTGTATTGATAGTATATTGAAAAATATCAAGGAAACCCTCTGAAGCCATAGGCTCTATTGGATATATTCTGACACTACAAGTTATTGAAATTGATGTATATAGTATAAAAAAACGTTTTAGTGGCAAGGACCGTCCTTTGATTTTTTTTTTCAGAAGGGCGATGAAGTCCAAAGCTTACTTCAAAATTATTCCCTATTAGGGACGACAATATTTTGGGCCTCTCACTTGGTTTTTTATCCAATATGTCTATGTTGACAGTATTAAATACCAAAATGTTTTTATAAGTACAAAGTGTTCTTAGTTCTGTCTGATAGTCATAATGTTATTTAGTTAAAAGAAGCATATCGTTACGTCTTTATATCTAAGACAAGATTTTGTCTTCTAAGAATTTTTGTGCATTTCCAATATTTAAAAGCCCCAAAAATGTACCAAGTTTTGTTAATTAATGAATAGGTCCTACCATTTTGTATTTAAGTAGATAACTTAAGATTACAAGTAAATAGTTACGTTATATTTTGAAAAGTAAAGCACAAATGATATGAACTGTTAATGAGTTTTTGCGAAATTTAATCACTTAGATCGGTTTCCAACTGCAGGTCAAACCTAATTATTTCAAATATGCTTCATGGTTTTCAGTTATACACGTGTCCAAAGCTTTGGACACACGAACATGTATAACCTCAATTATAAGATATAGAAGTGATAACAATCTTGTTCCTGTGTCATGGATATTTTAAAACATTGTTGTATAGACAGTATTGTAGTATAAAACATTAGCATACTGACCACCATATGTTATATTTCTAGTCCTTCTATTTTATCACATCCATTTCCAAGCTAAATCAACAAACTGTAACTACAATTCACTTAGCAGATTTCCAAGTCAAAGTTACTCGTAGCGCTTTAATGAACCAATAATAAGATATCTAAATTTCACGATTATGCACCAAGACATTATTAAATTTACAATTGTTGGAGCTCGTGTCATTTTTAACTTGTAGTATATTCTGAAAACATTAATATAGTTACATATTTCTTGTGTTTTTGCATTTTCAAAGTCTAACCACTTATATGGAATTATAAATTAATTTAGTTTTTGTTTTTAATTATTGTACAGATTTTAATGTACGCCGATAGAGGTCATGTAATCGAACATTCAGAATAATTGTTTGTTTGTTTTGGAATTTCGCGCAAAGCTACACGAGGGCTATCTGCGCTAGCCGTCCCTAATTTAGCAGTGTAAGACTAGAGGGAAGGCAGCTAATCATCACCACCCACCGCCAACTCTTGGGCTACTCTTTTACCAACGAATAGTGGGATTGACCGTCACATTATAACGCCCCCACGGCTGAAAGGGCGAGCATGTTTGGTGGGATGCGGAATCGAACCTGCGACCCTCAGATTGTGAGTCGAGCGCCTTATCCACCTGGCCATGCCAGGCACCATTCAGAATAAACTATGAATCCAGTATATCGTACATTTTTTGTAAGTCTGTAGTTAACTTCCACCTTTAAAATTATATATACATATTTAAGATTTTTTTCTGTTGGGTTAAATGGTGTATTAAGCACTTGTTAAGATATAGTTCAACTGAGTGTACTTATATGACGGAATGCGTGATTCACTAATTTCGGAATGGGAAAGAACAAAAATTAAATTTATTGACTTACGAAATTTTTGAAGTTTACCGAGTTCTCATCAATGTTTCTACCTGAAAGTGCTTTTATATTCATATTTTGTATTACACATCCATTATGCCTGTCTTTCCACGACTTTGTAAATAAAGCAACAATATCCGCACGCAAATGAAATGATCGACAATTGTGTATAAAAGGTATTTATTCATAGTCTTCTTTGAACATTCTATATAATTATATGAATAAGAGAAAATTCTCTTAAACCTAATGCTTGCACATTAACATGAAATACACGGAAAGACCTTGCGTTAATAACAAAATGTACACGAAGCGTTTTATAAAACAAATTATTAGGAACATAAAACGTAAGTATTCTTCCGTTCAATTAGACAAACGTTAAGTTTAAGAGGTAAATTTTGTTCAAATATACAAAGCCTACTTAAAAATTGTCGGCAGGAACGACAAGCTGACAATATGATTGAAACTTCATTTCTAATGCATTTGTATTAAAATTAGATGTTGAAAGCACATTAGTTTAAGTTATTTGTTGTTGAACGGTTTAAATTAAAACTAAATAGAAAGAGTTCTTAAAGTTTGTAGTTAATATAAAATTTAATTTAATTTTGAAAGTGATGCAATGTGGAACGTAGAACGGCTCTGAGTTTTTTTTTTTTCTTCAAGTACAAACATTTAGCTCCTAGCTCCATCATCTCTTGGCCAATTTGAGATCTAATTACAGTTTTGAACTCAGGTGGTCAAAACCTTTCGAGTGATATATTTGACCACGCCCAAGTCTCACAGATTAATTTATTTTAATCCTGCCTAAAGGAATTACAGTTTGAGAATAGGCTGGTAGAGATCCCGATTAGTAATAAAATCGATTCAGGCGTAAGCGCGCGCCCCACGCTTGGTAGTGCTGGCGCACAAAAATATAAGTAATATTATAATATAGCTAAATAATAAAAAGAAAAAAGGACTCATAGATTAATTTACTCTAATCCTACCTAAGATAATTTCAAGTGCGGCGGTTATTGAGGATCCCCCTCTTGTTACCTGTATCTATACTTCTAATGAAATATCATAAGTATTGTACATATAATAAACACATTTATAGAATATTTTCCCACTGTCGCCAAAAACTGGTGTGGCATTACATAAAACAGTTTAGCCACTTCTTAACTTAGTTTATGGCAATATTTCCACCATAATGTGCACTATTCGAGACCGACTCTTAAACTTAGAACTATGTACAAGTGAATGAATATTAAAAAACAAACGAACAAAAACAACAACAAACACGAATGCTAGTAGATGTCAGTAAAATATTTAAGTAACAATTTCTTATTAATTCGTATTTATTCGCATATCATATGCCATAATTCTGCTCCGCTATGCAAATTTTATTATCTTATGATAATAGTATACAACACATCAGTCTTTATGTTATCAATACCGAAAAAAGTATTTGAAGGAAATATTTTTTGTGTTTTTTTTAGCGCAAAGCAACATTGGACTATCTGCTAGATTCATCGCAAGGTTGTTGTTTGTTATTAAGCACACAGCTACACAAAGGGCTATCTGTGCTCTGCCCAACACGGTTATCGAAACCCGATTTATAGCTGTATAAGTCCACAGACATACTAATGTGCCACTGGGGGGCGCATCCCAGGGAGACAATAGCTCTGTGCACTTAATGTGCTCTTAACATGAATATTGAAATAATAATATATTAAATCTATTAGATGAATTAACTATTTATATAATATGAACAAAAATTAATCATTAAATGCATTTTAACGCAGTTATATGAAAATAAGCTGATAAGAGCAGAGTATTATTATTATTATTTTATATTACTTATGTTAAATTAAAATTACATAGAAAACGCTATATTGTAGTTAATAAAGGCACATTTAATTTTGGAGTTGAAAATCACATCAGGTCATTTAGCTGAATGGGTGATAGACATCTGCTTAAAAATATCAAATACCTTCCAATTACTTTAAAATAATTGTTGCACATTAACAATTAATACCGTTATAGTTTACGTTAATATTATTAAACATGTAGCAATGAAACTGCAACAAAGCTGTTGTTGTTTGTTGCACAAAGCTACACAAAGGGATATCTCTTCTCTGCCCACCACAAGTATCAAAACCCGGTTTCTATCAGTATAAGTCCGCTGAAACTTCAACAAAGAAAAATACAAGATACGATAAATATATTCTGCTGGTTTGACTAATCTAACTTATTTGTGCACTCAGATGACACAGTTTAAACATTACATTGTCGATAGGAATATTACAGTAATCGATTTATACATTCTAGAAATAGACGCTACAGTAATTTGTTTTGAAATGTATTCGTTACTGATGGAACAGTTTGTTGGTATTGTATTATGCTGCTTAAAGTCACTCGACTCTAGCCTTGATATCTACTTACCCATAACTAGCCAAGGTTGAATCATAGTAATACGAAGCAGGTTGGGGTATAGATCTCCAGGGGCTATCTACGCTTTCTTTCATTGTGTAAGCAGAATTCTAAAAATAGACAATAAATCTTTGTTTTACAATAAGCCGTTTGAATTATGAAAACGCATATCGTAAGACACAAATTGTTATTAAGCATAATTTAAACTTCTTCAATGATGTTAGAAAAAACACGTAGGTTCAAGAAGTTTTGATAGAAATGAATAAAAAACCCTATAACCCGAGCGCTTTCGAAAGGTCTGCCTTTCTATTTCGCTCGGGTTATAAGGTTTTTATTCATTTAAACTTCTTCAAGATTATCTAATGTTAACGTTTATTAAGAATATTTGGTCTTTTGAAATTTTTACCACAGTCAACAAGATGATTCTTTTGAGTATAATGTCGTAGTATACATGCTAACCATTCATTTTTAGGTAATAGCTTCACTATTTGAAAATATTTTAAAACTTAAAAACAAAAACACATAGGTACGAAACTTTCGAAGTTTTAAGACTCTCCGTGTAAAGATCAAATTAGTAGTATTTTCATTATAACTACAGCATGTCATTTTGTATTTATTTTATTTCAATTGCAGTACAAAGGATATAGAAACGGAAGCAGTTATATTAAACGTAACTAGAAATAAACTGAAATGTAAAGAAAAATACTATTGAAAGAGGGAAAGAGTGTTACAAACGTTTTGAAATGTGATCATATCTTAAATTCTATGTAGATCTTTCTCGCAGAAAACACCAAAGCGAGGCATTATTATAACGAATACTAGACTTAAACGCTATTAATTCTAGTCCATTGACTTTCTGTCAAAATATATTTCTTATCTATTTACAGTCCCCCAGTAGAACTGCGATAAGTCTACTGACTTGCAATGCTAAAATCCTGGGTTAAGTTGCCAGCAGTGGACACAGCAGATAGCCCAATGTGGCTTTGCTCGAAGACAAACAAACAAAATCTATTTCCATTTACTGAATAAATAAGACATGTCATAACAACATTATCTGTTTGATCAAAGGTTTAACAAAATCAAAGAAAACAAGTGAAACGAGTTTTCATAATAAGCGACCAAATATTTACTTGTGGCAAACTGTTGTCCTCTTGGGCCCGCCATGGCCATGTGGTTAGGGAGCTTGACTCGCAATCTGAGAGTCGTGGGTTCATGGGGGCATAATTATGTGATGGTCAATCCCACTATTCGTTGCTAAAAGAGTACCCCAAGAGTTGGCGGTGGGTGGTGATGACTAGCTGCTTTCCCTCTAGTTTTTCACTGCAAAATTATGGACGGCTAGCGCAGATAACTCTCGTGTATCATTGCGTGAAATTCAAAACAAACCAAAGCAGTCCTCTTGGAAGTATCCTAAAACTAATTTCTTGCTTCAACAGAAAAAACATTTGAAATATCTTAATTTACTTAAAACGAAGGACTTAAAAGCTAACAAGATAATTGCTAAAATTTGTACACAGTCTTATGTACTTAGGCGAATAATTTAATTGCACATATCACAGCCTAAAGTAAAAGACACTGTGTGATTTTTATTAGAACTCATACGGAGTTAATAGTTGCAGTAAATTTGAAAAAAAAACAAAAAAAAACAGCTAAACAAATTGAAATTTAGAAATTTAAAAAGTTTATGTAAATTTCAAAATATATCATTTCAAACTTCTGAGAAAAGATGCTTCAAATCAAATTTTCCAATAACATCAGCGTAAAATGTTACCAACTTAGGAAGCAGGCTGTAAGATTTCAGTAAATAAAATTTTACGGTTTTATGCTTTTAGGATAAGACAATTTTAAATTGAAGTAAATACTGTAGTATATATTTGTTAGATGTTTGTCTGTTTTAGAATGTTCGCGTTATTGTAGTATATATTTGTTAGCTTTTTTGTCTGTTTTAAAATGTTCACATCACTGCAGTATATATTTGTTAGCTTGTTTGTCTGTTTTAAAATGTTCACATCACTGCAGTATATATTTGTTAGCTTGTTTGTCTGTTTTAGAATGTACGCATTACTGTATTATATATCTGTTTTAGAATGTGCGCGTTACTGTAGTATACATTTGTTAACTTGTTTGTTTATTTTAGAATGTTCGCGCAAGGTACACAATAGCTATTTGCTTTGGATTGTTGTTTTTTGTTTTTACATTCGCAAAAAGCTAGCCGACCCAAATTTGAGATGTTACATTATAAAGAAGGTACATAGCCAACTACATCCACCGTAATTCTTTGGCTGCACTTGTCTGACCGATTATTAGGAATCTGACCGTCACTCATGATCCCAAAGTGTGTGAAGTGTATTTTGTTAAGGGGGGGCGGAACACAAGCCTTGGAGCCACATATACATAGTGTAGCACATAAACCTTTGGACCACAATTGGTTAAAGGCTAATTGAGCTAGTTGTACTTAATGTTTAACTGATACACTAGATAGAAGGCAACTAATTAATAGCACCTACTCTCAACTCTTGGACTAATTTTACCTGACTAAATAGTGGAATCTGATCGTCACTCTTATAGCGCATTCATGACCAAAAGTGTAGGAACGGGATACAAACCATGAACTCTCGGATTTACAGTCCATACAGACTAACCATTGGCCCACACTTGACCTAATTCGTCAGCTTGTTTATTTGTTGGATTTCTCGTGAAACTACTTCAGAACTATCTGCGCTAGCCATTCCTATTTTAGTTTTAGAACTGGTAGACTAGATAGAAGGTAGCTATTCAACACCACCCGCCGCCATCTCTTGGACTACTCTCTATCAGTTAAAAGTTGTATTTAACGTCACTTAAACCAGAAATGTTCAAATCTAGCTAGATATATATAAACTGCGTAGAATAATCGAAAATATATTCATAATATAAGTAACGAACGATTCAAATTACGTAGTAAAGACTTTTACTAAACGTGGGGAGTATTTTGGAACATAAACCCTACTCGTTTGTTTTTCGGATATTCGCGAAAGTTACTCAAGGACACTAGCTATCTTTAATTTTGAGTTGTTAGACTAAATTAAGGGAAAGCACTTAGTCAACAACACCATTCCGCCAACTCATGGACCACTCTTGTCTGATTGAATAGTGAGATTTGACAGACGGAACACTTCTTTCATATAATATCGGGACGCGAACACTGAACTCACAGATATACAGTCCTGCAAGCAAACCATTAGGACAAACGCGGCCCTACACATTTAAAGCTTTTCTGAAATCTCAATCTTGAAAATCTATTATTGGATATAAATATAATGATTTTATTTGCATTTGGGTAAAAATTCTTTGAAATGAAAAAGAAATAAGCGTAAGAATATCAAAATTATTAATGTAAGGGTTGTTTTGTGAAATAAATATCCAGGGCATAAAACTGACCCAGCAACAAATTTCCTCTTCCTTCTCTGTTATTCCCGTCCCACCAAACATGCTCGCCCTTTCAGCCATGGAGGCGTTATAATGTGACGGTCAATCCCACTATTCTTTAGTAAAAGAGTAGCCCAAGAGTTGGCGGTTGGTGGTTATGACTAGCTGCCTTCCCTCTAGCCTTACACTGCTAAAGTAGAGACGGCTAGCGCAGATAGCCAGCCCTCGTGTAGCTTTGCGCGAAATTCAAAAAAAAA